GCACACACAGGGACAGACATTGCGCGAAGTCACGAACACACGGTAATTGAAAATCAATATTTGCACTCCCGTGGATGGGAATACGCCTCGCGAATACTTCATCCCGCCACGATCGAAATCTTTCGAGCGGCGCCCGACCTCCGCTTCCCCTCCCTCCCTAGATAATCGCGCGCTCTTTCGCCGTCCCCCAAATCCGCCACGAGTCTTCCGAAACTCGTACAACCGATTCGAACAATTTTCTAAACCCTGCCTCGACCGAACTGTCTCTACGTTTATTTGGATTTTAGCTCGAGCTTAGGATCGAGAGGGATATTTAACACGTTCGACTCTCGGGCGAAAAATGGGAAACGAAAGGGAAGGAAAGTTGTCGATCTGTCGAGAAAGAGGAAGGGAGGGAAGGATGAGAAGAAAAGGGGAAAAAATAATTGGACTCGATCTCGTTGCCTTCTCTCTTTCGTCTTTCGAAAAGATTCTGCGAGACATCTTCTCTTCGCAAGCAAGACGAGGAGGAGGAGGAGGAGGAGGAAATCTCATCGAAGCATCTTGTCTCGAACGAGAGGGAGAAAGGGAGGATATTGGTAGGAGAAGGATTCTCGCGGTTTGTTTCGAAAGTGCGTTTCCCACCCGAGAGATGTTATCTCCTCGGTCTGTTCGAGAAGTTGGACGTGTTCGTCCGTTCTCTCTCTCTCTCTCTCTCTCCTCTCTCCCCCAGAAGATAGCGGTTTCGTATTCGTATCCCGCCACCGAGATATATGTAGGTTGCGGCGCGAATGAAAATTCAGTGGCGCAGCAAAGTGGTGGGTAATCGGCAAGAAATCGAGAAGCTGTCGTAACGTAATGCATGCCTCCCCCCCTCCCGCCCCAAAGTGGGGAATGGGAAGGGACGCGTCGTAATCCTGGCGAGAGAGAGGTCCTGGGGATCGTGGAGGGAAATTGCGTGGGAGGGATCTTGCACGAGTGCACGGCGTGTTTGCCGGTCGGATTTGTTCCCGTCTGAAAAACGTAGTAGCCTCTTCCTTTGCGGAAGTGGAAAGCGTGTAGCGGCGGCAATAGTGGTGGTGGTGGTGGTGGTGGTGGTAGTTTGCCAAGTCGACGAGAGGTCGTGGAGGCGCGGCGTGGCGCGAGAAAAAGGGTGCAATTAAGCCGGCGTTCTCCGTTTATTTGCGCGGCGGCCGTATCGCGCGGAGGGGGATGCGGGGGGAGGAGGGGAAGTGTGAACAGAGGGGGAAAAGGGGTCGACCACCACCTTCGCGATCCATAGCGGCTAGATTGCTCAATGGGGCTGATTATGCGACCACGATCGACTACTGTACACCGCACAGACCGCTGCTATTCCCTGCTATTTCGTTCGGCTTATCCCACACACACACACACACACACACACAGTCCCTCGTTTCGATCCCTTTGCTAGCCCTATCGATCGATAGGGACGATAGCGTTGTAGGATGATTATCGTTGTCGAGAACCGTCTTATCTTTGCTTAATCGCGTGATTGTAAAACAAGGATTCCCTCTTGGTTCGTATCGTAAAATGTATTAACCCACGCGGTAGCGATTACTGTGTGCAAGTGAACTGGTTTGGTAATCGTAAGACGATTCGTATATCAGCGAGTATAAATATGTAATTATGAAATAAGGATGGATACGTTTAAACAACGTTTGCCCCAGGTAATTCTACGACCTGTTTCGAACGAACAAATAGAAACTCTCTAGGAAAGCTGCACGACTCCGCTCCCTTCGCGTGAATTAGATCGACGAGTCGAAAAGGAGTTTGAAGGAGTCTTCGAAAGTTTCGTGGAAATAACGTCGAATTCCAGGAATATCAATGATTCTTGGAAATGACGCCGAGTTCCTGGAATTTTTACAAATTCTTTCTACGAATTTTCGACTAGACATTCTTTGTCTAGGAACAAAGGTATGTTTATTTACATTTTTTGTTATTTGTTTCGAGAAAATTCTTGGAAATGACGTCAAATTCCTGGAATTCCCGAAATTCTGAGAAATCGCGTCAAATTCTTGGAATTTTGTAATTCCGTTTTGTTTACAAACAAAGGTTTGTTTATTTACGTTTCGCTTTGTTTATTTACCAAAATTTTCGAAAATTTTGTATTCCCGATTTCCGAATTTTCGTTTGTTTGCAAACATTGGTTTGTTTATTTACATTTTTTTGTCGTTTGTTTCGAGAAAATTCTTGGAAATGACGTCAAATTCCTGGAATTTCGAGAATTCTGGGAACTCGCGGCAAATTCCTGGAATTTTTGGAAATTTTTACACTTTCGCAGTCCGATTATGTAATTCCGTTTTGTTTACAAACAAAGGTTTGTTTATTTACATTTCGCTTTGTTTATTTACCAAAATTTTCGAAAATTTTGAACCCCGATTTCCGAATTTTCGTTTGTTTGCAAACATTGGTTTGTTTATTTACATTTTTTGTCGTTTGTTTCGAGAAAATTCTTGGAAATGACGTCAAATTCCTGGAATTTTCGAAATTCCGGGAACTCGCGGCAAATTCCTGGAATTTTCGGAAATTTTTACACTTTCGCAGTCCGATTTTGTAATTCCGCTTTGTTTACAAACAAAGGTTTGTTTATTTACATTTCGCTTTGTTTATTTACAAAAATTTTCGAAAATTTTGAACCCCGATTTCCGAATTTTCGTTTGTTTGCAAACATTGGTTTGTTTATTTACATTTTTTGTCGTTTGTTTCGAGAAAATTCTTGGAAATGACGTCAGATTCCTGGAATTTCGGGAATTCTTGGAATTCCTCGAACTTACCCGAGTACGACGATCCACGAAAATCATGGTCCACGTTCGAAGTTTCACGTTTCCGATATTTCTACCGTCCAATTTTTTTTTTTTTTTTTCCCTTCGACTTACTACTCGTGGTTATCGAATCGGACATCGGAGAGGACGTGGAAACGGACAAGGCTCTTTTTCAAAGATGCGAAGCAATTTTTTGGTTTAAAAATATATTTTATTTCGTTAATTGCTTTCTATTATGTTACATTTTAAGGCAATAGTAAAACGAAGAAATAAGTGCGCCATCTTAAATAATAAAAATCATAATAATAATAATAATAATAATATGTCTTAAATAAATACATTTGCTAAACAATAAATACATTTACTAAACAAACGATTCGTCTCTCAAACACGAACGGGAAGTGTTGAAGTTGGTTGGTTAACTGACTCGTATCGATAATGGACGATTTATTTACGAAGGAATAAAAAAAAGAAAAGGAATTAGAATTAATTGTTTCGATTGAAAAGAAAAAAAAATGGGAAAGCTTAAAAAAATCGGAAAAAGATATAATTGGAAAATGATATTTTTCGGCTCGTGTTTCCCTTCTTAAATCGTGCACTATCGGTATTGTTCACCTTTTCTTCTTTTCTAAAGTAGCGATCGATACGGAACAACAAACTCAATCACATCTGTGGACGTATCTGTCACATCGGATTTTTCACCCCACTACCGTGCGTCTACTTTTGTTTTCGGCAAAAATTCCCTTTAAATCGTTGCACTCGAATAACTAATTGATATTGTCCCAAAGGCAAAGCGCGCGCTCTCCCGTGTTCATTATTCGTCGGTTCGTTTTTCGTGGTTTGCACACCGCAACGAAAACATCGCGTTTCATTTTTTGACATTTAGACATTCGCAACGGGATAAAAAGGAAACGTTACCGAAGATTTGTAACCGGTTAACTAACTTTTCCATCCAATTCGGAAAATTTCGAAAATTAATCCGCCGTGTATACGATCGGAACGAAAAAAAAAAAGAATAAAAACTAAAAACTTCGATCCCATTTCTGCACAGTTGCAGCGCCGTTTCCTCGAATAACGAATAAAATTTCCACGATCGTCTTTCCTCGAAAAAGAATCGTATCGATTCTATCGAGAGAGAGAGAAAAAAACAAAACGAAAAAAAAAGGAGAGAGAAAAAAATCGAGGGAAACGAAAAACCTTTGGACACCTTTCTTCTCTTTCGAGAGAGGCATCGCGTTGTCTCGCGAAAGAAAAATCGTCGTGCAATTATCGTTGTTCGCCCTTCTAAACGATGCTTTTCATTTTCCACGACGGAAAATACCACGACAGTGCGCGCTTCTTTATTTCGAAACACTTTCAACGAGTCAAAGAAGAAAGTTGGCATCGCGACGAAACTTTTCCACCGTAATTACAAACACCGTTCTCCCTCCCCTCACTCACTCTCAGATTCCTGGAATTTCGGGAATTCTTGGAATTCCTCGAACTTACCCGAGTACGACGATCCACGAAAATCATGGTCCACGTTCGAAGTTTCACGTTTCCGATATTTCTACCGTCCAATTTTTTTTTTTTTTTTTTTCCCTTCGACTTACTACTCGTGGTTATCGAATCGGACATCGGAGAGGACGTGGAAACGGACAAGGCTCTTTTTCAAAGATGCGAAGCAATTTTTTGGTTTAAAAATATATTTTATTTCGTTAATTGCTTTCTATTATGTTACATTTTAAGGCAATAGTAAAACGAAGAAATAAGTGCGCCATCTTAAATAATAAAAATCATAATAATAATAATAATAATAATATGTCTTAAATAAATACATTTGCTAAACAATAAATACATTTACTAAACAAACGATTCGTCTCTCAAACACGAACGGGAAGTGTTGAAGTTGGTTGGTTAACTGACTCGTATCGATAATGGACGATTTATTTACGAAGGAATAAAAAAAAGAAAAGGAATTAGAATTAATTGTTTCGATTGAAAAGAAAAAAAAAATGGGAAAGCTTAAAAAAAATCGGAAAAAGATATAATTGGAAAATGATATTTTTCGGCTCGTGTTTCCCTTCTTAAATCGTGCACTATCGGTATTGTTCACCTTTTCTTCTTTTCTAAAGTAGCGATCGATACGGAACAACAAACTCAATCACATCTGTGGACGTATCTGTCACATCGGATTTTTCACCCCACTACCGTGCGTCTACTTTTGTTTTCGGCAAAAATTCCCTTTAAATCGTTGCACTCGAATAACTAATTGATATTGTCCCAAAGGCAAAGCGCGCGCTCTCCCGTGTTCATTATTCGTCGGTTCGTTTTTCGTGGTTTGCACACCGCAACGAAAACATCGCGTTTCATTTTTTGACATTTAGACATTCGCAACGGGATAAAAAGGAAACGTTACCGAAGATTTGTAACCGGTTAACTAACTTTTCCATCCAATTCGGAAAATTTCGAAAATTAATCCGCCGTGTATACGATCGGAACGAAAAAAAAAAGAATAAAAACTAAAAACTTCGATCCCATTTCTGCACAGTTGCAGCGCCGTTTCCTCGAATAACGAATAAAATTTCCACGATCGTCTTTCCTCGAAAAAGAATTGTATCGATTCTATCGAGAGAGAGAGAAAAAAAACAAAAACGAAAAAAAAAGGAGAGAGAAAAAAATCGAGGGAAACGAAAAACCTTTGGACACCTTTCTTCTCTTTCGAGAGAGGCATCGCGTTGTCTCGCGAAAGAAAAATCGTCGTGCAATTATCGTTGTTCGCCCTTCTAAACGATGCTTTTCATTTTCCACGACGGAAAATACCACGACAGTGCGCGCTTCTTTATTTCGAAACACTTTCAACGAGTCAAAGAAGAAAGTTGGCATCGCGACGAAACTTTTCCACCGTAATTACAAACACCGTTCTCCTCCCCTCACTCACTCTCACCGGCCCGCAACTCGTCGTCGATGACGAACCGAGACGACTCGCTGCAACCGCGATTCGTCTGCAAGCCGAAAATCGTATCCAACACGAGGATTGGGGAGACGAGATTCGATCGATCCGACGGCAGCCCACCAGGTGCGCGAGATTTTATAATTCAAGATGCGGCAGGAAATGGAAGGAATCGCGAAGGATACGGCGAACTTTCGAAGAAGAGGAAGAGTACATCGACGGTTTTCATCGACGGTGGCCCCCCCCCCCTCTTCCTCCGGAGATGTCGCCTCGAACGTGGTGATGGTGGTGGAAAGGAATAATTGAGATTTATGTAGTCGCAGGGGGAAAGACAGCGCGGAAACGGAGGAGCGCGCCACCCGGGAACTGGAAAAAAAAAAAGAGAAAAAGAAAAAAGAAGGAGAGGAAGGAGGAGGGGGAGGAGAGTCTCCTCTCGCTCGACGAACAAGTTAATTAAAGGGGGTCGACGTTAGGGGACCGCGAGCTGAATATCGATCAACTCGAGATTCAATTTCGATCGAAAGGAATAGAATTTATTATACAGGGGAGGGAGGAGGGGGATGGATTCGATGGATTCTAATAATTTTAATATACCTGTTAAGGTTGGGCCGAGGTCGATCCATCTTTGGTACTCCGACCGCGGCTCCCTTATACCACGAGCACGCGAACGAACGAACGAACGAACGAACGCTGCCTGCCTCGAACCCCGCAAGATTTCGCTTCGCCCGGCCGTTGACACGAACTTGCTACCTCTAAAAAAAAGAAGAAAAAAAAAAAAAAAAAAGAAAACAAAAAACCTTACCGAGATATCGATGCCGTTTATTTTTCGCTCTTTTTCTTTTTTCACGTATCGTTGAGAGACGAGAGCGATAGAGACGAAGGGGAATAGGAGGAGGAGTGGATGGGACACGGAAAACGACGACACGGTTATAATTGGCGCCTGGTATCGATTCCCTCCTCGGTCTCCTCGATGCCAAACTCGTCGACGAACGTCCAACACACTCGATCGCTCACAAATGGAGAAAATTCGTGCCGGCGTCGAATGTTAACCGCCCGTAATCGAATTCGATGGTTGGTCGGTTGGTCACCTCGTTTCGAGGATCGCGACTCGAAACTACGAAGGCGAAATGGAGGAGAACGAAGAGAGAGACAGAGAGAGAAAGCGTCGATACATATTCAAAGGACGGTCAGGCAAGCAGGCAGGCAGGCAGGCAGGCAGGTAGATAGGTAGGTAGGTAGGTAGGTAGGTAGGCCGTCTGGTTTGGCACGGGCCATTAGCATCGATCGTCTTCCGGGAGACTCGACCGTTTATCCTCTCGAGAATTTCCTTGGTATCGAGTTAAGGGGCGCCCCTCTGCGCTCTCTCTCTCTCTCTCTCTGTATCGTCTCGTGGCACGAACCACCATTAATTCTTTCTCGATCACCCAGAAAGCTGGAGCCAGCCTTCGAGTTGGACCACGCGTCGTTCGTTCGAGAGAATTTTTTCTAATCGCGCTCACTCTTTCGCGGGGATAAAGGGGGTCTGGAGAGACAACGGGAGGGAAATGTTGAAAATCGCTCGTTTGTAATGAAATACGATTTATTTGCTAAATATTTGCGAATATGTATATGTATATATATATATACATTAGGCCATACACACAAGTACGCGCGATCTCTTTCCGATCTTTCTCCGTTGTCGGCCGACAATGACCGGAGATCGCCGATCATTGTCCATGCGTTTCTCCATCACGGAAAGCGACGCCTTTTTTTTTTCTTCCCCCCCCTCCCTCTAATCTCGATCACGAGGTATCTATTTCTCGACAGGCAGGTGTGTATAAAGTATTCACAGATAGCGACGAGGAGGAGGAGGAGGAGGAGGAGGAGGGAGGATCGCGAAGCGAGCGAGCGAGATGGAGCGAGCGAGCGAACGAACGAACGAGCGAGCGCGTCGCGTCCTTCGGGAAGTAGACAACGGGAATTAGAAGCTTGGAAGCCGTACAACTGGGATGGGTAAAACACGTACTTACTTTAGAATCGTATCGTTGCGCGGTACGCGAGAGAAACACGGATAGACACGCGTGGAGAAGCTCGCTCGCTCGCTCGCTCGCCCGATTCCTATCTATCATCGTTCCAAGAATAATCATCCTCGAGTCCCCTCGCTTCCGTATCCCACGCGTATTTTTCGATAAATATTTACGGCCGCCCCGTCGAATCGTTCCGAATTAATCGGCTTACACCCTCGTAAATCGTATTTTCGAGTCGCGTGCCGTAATACGCGGCACGGTAAATCCGCGTTCCTCTCCCTCGCGTCCCCCTCCCTCCTCCTCCACCTCCGGATCGATGGATCGTCCATCCGGCCAAGTAGCCAACGACTCGATCCTTTCGAAACGCCCTTTCCATTCTCTCTCCTCTCCTCTTCCTCCTCTTCTTCCAAGTAGACGTAGACGACGACGACGACGACGACGACAGCCTCCTCCTTGGCTCCTCGTGGCGCGGAGGAGGAAAGCGCGGCCGGCCGCGCTTGTCGTCGATCCTACTCCTAGACCAGTAGCGCGACGAGCAGCGCGCCAGCCACCGTCAAGCGGACGGCGGGCGCCAAGGTGGTCGCGTGTCCTGCGACTGAAACATCCGGAACAAGCGAGAGATACAGTACAGATACAGGGAAGGAGGAAGCGAGAGAAGAAGGAGGAGGAGGAGGATTTCGCGCGAAATTTCAACTTTTTAAGTCGACTTTTGCCGGAGAACAGGCAAGGGAGGGGAGGGGAAAGGGGCTGTAGCAAATGCGACAGCGAGCGGCAACTCGACGTACGTCGCTTCCAAGAACAACTTGGACTAACTAGAGAAAATCGAAGATCGTTAAGAGCAATTTCGTCGAGACGTTTCCTCTCCCCACTCTCTCTTCTCTTTCTCTTCGGCTCCCGTTTCGCGATCTCGAGCAGACGAGGGGACCAAATTTCTCCCCTCGTTCTCGATCGATCGTCGCCAACCGTTCTCCATTTCTATATTAATTTTTCACTCGGGGTTTATACACAACGACGATTTCCATCCTCGATTCGAACGGGTATGGGACGTGATGGGGCATAATTTACCGCGGGAAAAAGAAAGAGAGAAAGGAAGAGAGAAGAAGAAGGGCGATCGCGAGGCAAAAGGTGAACGAAAGGTAAATTATTGTTTTAATTTCGAAGGGTCGATGGTCCACGGTCGTTTCTCGAGGTAGATCTCGACTTTGCGGCTGGCCCCGTTCCACTTTGGACGACGACGACGATCGTAAAGCATCCTTAATTCGTTAGAGCGATGCTTAATTTCCTGCGAAAAGTGACTCCTCGCGTTCTCCCCACCTCCCCTCCGGGGTTGCGCCTCTTTGGTCGGGAAATAACGAGGTAATCGTTTCTCTCGCGACGTCAAGCACGCGTTAATTAACGCGTCCGTCGTTTCGACGGTTCCCGTTTCTCTCTCCCTCCCTCCCTCCCTCTCTCTTTCTTCTTTTCCGGAAAGAGTTAAATACGAAAGAAAGGAAGAAAGGAAGGAGGGGAAAAAGAAAGGAAGGATGCTTACCGAAAACTTCCGTTGTGCGAGTCTCGAGGAGCAGCGCGTCCGAGTTCGAATCCAATTCCACGGTCGCCTCGCATCTTTTGACAAAATTGATAGAGACGCATTAATCGTCGGGCTTGAGGAGGGCTGGTTGATGGTGATGATGGCAATGGTGGTGGGTGATGAGTGGTCGGAGAGGAGATCGTCCGGGACGAAATTACCTGACGTTTATTTTGTCGCCAGCGAAGTGATTCGGTTCCAACTGTAGCCGTAAACTGGATATCACCGAGTAGAGTCCGTGCTGCTCGAACACCATTTCCGTGTCGGGTTTCACCTGAAACGAATCAACGACGGAACGTGTTCCTCCCCGAATTCTATGTCGTTACGATCTCGTAACGGCGATCGATCGATCGATCGATCTCTCTCTCTCTCTCTCTCTCTCGCTCGCTACGCGTTATATTTCCAATTATCGCGATCTAGCGTCGAGAACGAGAGAGAGAGAGAGAAGAAAGGAGAACGAGGAGGGCGAAACGATACTCGACTCGCGCGCGATTCAACGCGATTGCGTGGCGTAATGGGGAGAAGGGGGAAGCGTCGTCTCGCGCCCTATCGAGATTTCCTCTTCTCCCCGAGATTCCCAGCCGCGGGCCATCCGAGCGAACAACCAACCTTGTCCCCTCCTCTCTCTCTCTCTCTCTCTTTCTCCCAGAAACGAAACCGGATGGATGGATGGATGCGCGATACGAGCAGAGAAAATTTCCTCGAATTTCACCAACCGACAACGCTGTTTCCTCCTCCTCCTCCTCCTCCTCTTCGCGAAATTATCATCGCACCTCTCTCTTCCTCGATCTTTTGGATACTCGCACGTTTCGTACGTTCGAATATCTCGTCGATCGTGAACGTCGAAGGCAAGGAAGAAAGAAAGAAGACAATCTTTCTTTCGAGACGAGACGAGGCGAATTTTCGATATTGCTATTCGCGTTAAACGGCGCGGTGAACTCGCT